ACACTGGGAGGCAATTTAACTGGTACCGTGTCATTTCAAGTCAATATTGAATTTTTGACGGCATTAGCATTAGAATTAGCAGCTAATGTTACCTTAACTTGTTTTTGTCATCCCTTGACATTAGAGGGTTGTCAGCCAAATTGAGCAGCTTATGTTGTTGGAAAGTTTAATTTTGACAGGAAATGTATGTTTCATACTGGTATTCACAGACACAGACTTAGTAATAGATCATGACATACATGATTCACCCAACTTAAACATCTTGATCTCATATTTCTGTCATATTTTCTATATTGTTTTCAACCACTTGAGGTTCAGCTAGCACTCTTTGAGTTACGTCATCTCATTTCGCCCTCCTCTGTTGCAATGGTTTAATGTAACCTGATGAATAAAAAACACTCTCTAGTCATTTTCCATTGAAGTTATTGAATATATGTGTTACTTATTGTATTAGCAACATACTAGTGTCAAGCAGCTAGTATAATGGCTAGCTTTGTTAGCAGTAAACTATTCACAGAAAAAATAAGTTAACAAATCACAGAAAAGCTGTAGTAAAAGAGTACCTACAGATAATACAACAGGAACATCTGGGAACAGATAAAAGAAGCGTTTGAGAATTTATTGCACAGATCTGACGAAAGGCTGAATGTTGCTATTGAAACCAAATGCTGTTGTAAAAATAGTGATTCAGAGATATTTTAGCTCATCAACAGAGAAATAAGTGATCAAAGTCCACGCAGCAGGCAAAGTTTACCCCAAAAATATTTATATGCAGGCAAATCAAAACAGAGACTGTTGTAAATTAAGTGAGGTTTAAAAAATTTCAAAGGCCTCTAAATTAGATGATACACAGAATGGAACCAGCGCACAAAAGAGGAATATATTATAATAATGCAATTTTTCCCGCTCATAAATATATCCTCGACATCCTGTGCCTTATGATTCACTGTGTTACTGCTCTCTGTCACGTACCTCGCATGTTTAGAATTCTGTAGAAATACAGGAGGTAAAACAATTTGCATAAGATAAGACTTAGATTAAAAAAAACTTTCAGTGCTCTTGAGAGATAAACAGGAACCAATTAATGTTCTAGTCTGAAACACACAGCTTACATACTCCAGCATTTACCACACAGCTGATTAGATTCCCCATTCACCGCAACGCAACCCGCCCCCTACTTGTTCATTTTGCTTGGTTTTGTTTAGCACCATTTACACTCAGAATATGGATCAGAGACACTGGAGTTAAGCTTATTAGTGATTAGAGGACATGAGGGGCAATAGAAAAGGCTTTAGCTACAGCCACTCAGCTTACCCCAGTGTGGTGGAGCCTGCTAATGCGATTGGCTGAACTGCGAGATGTTGGTTCCATCAATGAAGACAGACTTCTCCCCTCAGGTAGCCTATCAGGAATCCCATCACGACTGCCTGGTTTTCACTGGAACATCAATCCATGAATCTGTCCGAAATAATAGTGCGAGTTAGTGAAGCATGAAACTATGGCTGTCAGTGAATGTTAAATTCATCTATTACCACGCCCGCATTCATAGAGAGGGAGAGAGACAGAGAGTTGAAGTGTTGGGGGAGCATTGTGTTAAAAGAAGTTGGCACCTAAATTTAAAAAAAAAAATCTACAGAGGAATGCCCAATAAAAAACTTAGATGGTGCAGATACAGTACATAACAACGATGATAACAGGTTTTAATGTAGCTGTGTACATGACTTGTATTGCTCCAAATCCAAGCTGACCCTGCATTTAATGCTCTTTCATGTTTTTATAGTTGGTTATTCTGTTCATGTCTTCCTATATTTCAGCTAAAAAAATCTTTCGACAGCCCACCATAATGATCTGCAGTGTGTTAGTGTGCTACAAAATAATGAATCTGTAATCACAGAAAGCCTCACAATAATGTGTTTACACCCCCCCCCCGAACCCCCACAACCCACATTTTGGGTGTCAGCAGCCTGATGACAACACAGACAGCCCACAGATGTGCACCCTCTGCCTACCACAGCCTTGCAGGGTGTGCCAGCAGGGAGCGGAAATCCTATTGAAGTGAAATTATTAATAACTATCTCTAACCATGTCTTAGAAATGAAAGAGACACCTCAGAGCGTAGAGGAGCAGAGACGGCTGCAGAATCATGACCTGTAGCTGCTCTCTGATGAGACATATGTTATAGACTGAAATCCTAAACAACTCACGTCTACATTTACAGTTCATTAAAGCTAGAGAAAGAGAGAGACGATGGGAGATGGACGGCTGATGGGTGAGGGGTTCACACAGTTCTGAGATTTGCGTCATGCTCTCAGCAGGAACCGTATTGAATCTAAATGTGCTAGGTACAAGGAATGGAGAAACCACAGGGAGATGGCCCAAATATTTATATGACTGTCAAAGCTAAGTGACCCACGGGGACAATTTATATATCTGTGTGTCTACAAATGTATATATCTGAGTTCATACAAATGTATATATCTGAGTTCATCTTTTTCTTTAACAACGCAACAAAACACCTAATTTCTCCAGATAAATTCAGCCGTAAAGAGGGTTGAGTGGTGGTGAAATATAACTGACGAGCCTATAAAACAGAACAGCAGGTGGGAATAAGAGGGAACGACATCTTTGTTTCCCCATCTTTTTGAATGAGTGTGTTATTACCGTAATCCTCTCACATAAGCCAGGCAGGTTAAATCTTATCTCTAAAAGAGAACCCTGCTTTAATGATGCAGAGAGATGAAATCCACAATTTATGGGGTCTAAGAAGAAGTCAAAGTGGAAAGCGGTAAATGTCTTGACACTCTGGGAACTGAAATGGGTGCACTTCACACATCAGTCCTTACAACATCAGGAAAGACACTCAAAGTCAGCTTGCAGCGATGCTAAATTTACAACTCATCTCAAATAATTATAGATCAATTTACAGTGTGCTAAAAGAGTTGCAAGACCAGTTCCAGTAGAGAATGAGGCAATGTCATTTGTACTAAAAACAGTCTTCCCAAACACAGAGGCAGTTAGTTTAATGCAAATGAAATAATTTCCATCTTATTGTCTGTTGAAAACAATAAACCTCCACACACAAATCAGTTCAAAAGCTTTTAATCTCATTTTGTTTTCTCTGTGTCTTAAACAGAAGGGGAAACCAGCCAGGCTGACTGTAAGTGATTAGAATGGGAGAAACGAGCCTCAGCTATGGCTGCTGTCACACTAGATACTTTATTTACACATAATGAATGCTTGGGCTTTGCAAACAAAGCATTAAAGTACATTTTCAACACAATTTAATGCAATTTACTAACCAGTTTAGGTCTTTAAATTATTAAGAAATTCAAAATGGTCTTATGACTTTGAGTAATTTGGCCTGGTTTGAATTTTCTTTAATTGTTTTTAGCTTTTTTGTTTTTGTTTTTCTTTTTTTTTTTTTAGCTTTTTGTTGCCACAAAAAGAAATAGGTTTTTGTGCGTTTCCTGACACTACATGATAACAACAAAGTAATCCTACTGCGTTTGTTCAACAGTTTGGGCAGCACTGAAGCTTGAAGCTGGCATTTAAATCAGTGCACAAACCATCCAGACAGTACATTTACCTAGTAACTACACAAAACTGTTTCACAATAAACTTTACAAACTGTGACATTTTGGGAAATACAGTATATATATATTTTGGGAGACAGGGATGGACAGCTAGCCTGGCTAACGAGAGCTGCTTACAAGCACTTCTGAAGCTTTATTATTTTATCAACATGTTATATCTCATTTGGTTTTTGATCTTTTTCAATTAAACAAAGAGATGAAATTATATATTGTTGGGGGTTATGTGCTGGACTATGATCTGGCCTGACCATTGAGAGCAACTGATGGTTCAGTGGTCTGCCCAAGGACACTAGGACACATGGGCAGGAGGAGCTGAAGATCGAAGCTCCAACTTTGTGATCAATGAGCGACCCACTCTACCTCCTGAGAGACAGCTGCCACGTTCCCCTTGTTTACTTGGCCAGGAGCAACATCCTCCGCTTGTTGCGTCACAGTGACAAGAACACTCATATTTTTACGCTGAATTAACTGTCTGCTGGCCGTAGCTTCATAGTTAACTGGCAGACATGAGGGTGGTATTCATTTTCTTAACAACGTAGCTCTCAGCAAGAAAGTAAATAAACATATCTCAAAACGTTGAAATATTTGTTTGGAGTGTGGGAGTCAAAACCATAAAAATCTATATTGTGGGCATGACAAGCCTTTCTCATGAATTTGTTTTATTTTAGTTTTTGTTTTCTTATCCATAAATCAAGTTGTGCTGACATTACTATTTAGAGCAAATGTGTGGGGGAATGTGGGTTTCACACACACACACACGCACAGCTGCTACAGAGAACTGCCATATCCTCAGTCTCAAACTGCTGGTCCACCGGATCTGCTGGGGGTTAAGCGTCTTGTTAAAGTACGATTTAATAGCAGTGGATGGTTCATTAGGCAGTTCATTTACCGTATATACCGTATATACAGATCCAAATTACAGTGGTCATATGATAGCTCATATGGTCATTATATGAGCTATCATAACCGATACTCTGTTGGTGCTGAATCTACACATTTCTGGGGAATTGCTTAGTTTTCCCTTTCAGATGGCTGAGACTCTGTCTTAGCATTGGAGGCAAAAGATTAGAAATCATACACTCTCTGGATGACTAAATGCTAGGTTAGCAGTCTTGGCAGCCGAAAACCGGCTTTGTGACATTTCAGAGCAAACAAGTTCTTCATAGAGCTCCTCCCACAGATCAACAGTGTAGTGTAGTCTGTATGTGACTCAACATGCCTTTCACACAGCCAGCTGCCACTGACTTTATCGTGTATCCGTGTTCTACAACTTTCTCTTTCGGTGTGACACACAAGATCCTGCGGTGCCACTGATCGATGTTGATCTGGAGGATGAACCCTGTTAGTGTGTAGGATTAGAGAGTGAGTGTGTTGTGGGGGCTCGTGTCAGAGAGGATCTCTGTACTCATGGATTGCTTTGCCGGATCCCCTGGGCAGTTCAGGAACTTCCGGAAGGACGATTTTGAGGCTAACTGGATTAAGGTTGCAGAATGCAGATTTGGTCAGGTGTACCAGGTCAAGCTCAAACTCTGGCGGGAAAAATGTGCCCTGAAAAGCTTTGACAGCTTGTGTGCAAACAACTTTTACAGGTAGGACTTACTAACACAAATTTCTTAGTATATTTGTATAGTTGTGCGCTTTAAATTACTATTGAACTTTACAAACATCTTATTGTTACTCTTTGCACCTTTTACCGTGTTTGACACAGAAATTTATGTTTCCAGTGGTCAAAGTTCAAAATAGCTATTTAATGTCCAAAGCCCCTCTGCTGACCATTACTTTTCTCCATCACAGGAGAGTAATGGATGAGGCATCCAACATGGCCAAAGTGAAATTCAAATACATCATGTCCATCTACGGACTGTGCAGTGAAGCGACTGCTGTGGTGATGGAGTACATGAGTAATGGATCGCTGAACAATCTCCTAGCCAGTCACACTTTGATGTGGCCAAAGAAGTTCCAGATGATTCATGAAGCCTCCATGGGCATGAATTTCCTCCACACTATGAAACCTCCACTACTCCATCTTAACCTCAAGACATCCAACATCCTACTGGATGATCATCTTCATGTCAAGGTCAGTGAAACTCAAAAAAACAACATAATACGACTGTAAATGCTCACAGTAGCAGTGCTGACATTTGACTGCAGATAATAATATGTATGATAATTCTGTACTACTGTAGAATTTTTGTTTTTCTACCTCTAAGATTTCAGATTTTGGTTTAATTCACTGGGAAGAGGGCATGAGCAAGACGTTGTTCATGGAGCATCTGACAGCAAGAGGGAACATAAGTTATATTCCTCCAGAGACTTTCACTCAGTGCCCTGATCCTCCAAGAACTACCTTTGATGTTTACAGGTGACTTGCCAAGGGCATTTTTGAAATTGCACCATCAAAGAGTCATTGTTTTTTCTGATTCAGTGGACAATCCACAATTCACACAGTGTAACCTCTCAAGTGTATATATTTACTCTATTACAAGTCACAGGAACATATTCTACTCATGTCTTACTCACTCACTTTTTTTTTTATCTTAAAAAGCATGATCTTTTTTATGGAACAAAAAAACACCTTCATTTTCAGTGGCTTTTATATAAGAGTGATCGCTACAAAGTTGCAAAAGTGACAAAATTGGGACTGAAGTGCCTCCGTCTGCTTTCATCCACAGCTTTGGAATTGTGATGTGGGAGATTCTGACACAGCAGAAACCGTATGCAGGTAGGATTTAATTCATTTGAAATGTATCACATCTCCACATCAAATAGATTTGTAGGTGTAACTTCAGCAAGGAGTCATGTAACAGTCAACATTATCACTTTAACAGCATAAGGGTGAAAGCAGTTTCATCTGACTGTTTCCAAAACTGAATTTCAAAGTTGAATGCAATACAACTAAGCAAAGAGCCTTAGCTCTCCCAAATGTTGTAAACAAGCACAAAAAGAAAATGTCTACCAATGGTCATACAGCACTTCACTGAAAAGACATGGTGAAAGATATATCAGTGGTTACAATAATAGAAAAGACCATTCTGTCATCACCCTTCAAATTAATTCATGGCACTCAAGATGTCATGGTTAGTTTCCTATGAGCAACAACAAGCCATAAGTCAAGTTTAATATCTTATTCCATTTACTTAAACATAACCATGTGCAAACCTTTAAAAGAAACTGTTTGACATTTTGGGAAATGGCTTACTTCCTTTCTTGCAGAGAGATTAGTCAGCAGACTGTTAGCTTAGCTTGAATGCAATAAAAACAGGAAACAAGGGGAAACAGCTGACCTGACACTGTCCTAAGGTAACAACCCCCCCCCACCAGCACCTCCAAAGCTCAAGCATTAACATGTTAAAGCTAGTTTTAATTCTCATCTGTCATCATGATGCCGATCAATCACATTCAGTCTCATTTATGTCACATCACTGTTTTAGCCGACGCCCAGGATGCTTGCTCACGTCTACATATGGACAGAGAGCAACAGTGGCACGTTGAATGAACCTGTAATACTGTCACATGATTTGTAGCATAAATTTAGTGCACAACATAATTCCCTCTCTGACAAATCATTTTGATACTGTGTTGAAACAAGTAAACCTGCTTTGCTGCTGTAATTGCTCTCTGCATGTGTTGAATCTCCACTGAGCCTTGTGTCTGACATCTGTTTTGTGGACCCAGGGTGCAGTGTGACCACAGTGCTCTTGGAGGTAGCACAGGGTAAGAGACCCTGTGTGGAGATGATACCTGAGCAGATGCCCCATGAGTGTGATCAGATGATCAGAATCATGCAGCAGTGCTGGGACCAGGATCACGGGAAGAGGCCACAGTTCTCAGGTGCAAAAACAAACAATTGTTGTCTGCTAACTTTCTAATTTAGATTTTAAGTTCTCAGTGGAAATTATGTTATCCGCTGAGTTCCCAAAGCAACTGAGTTGATGTTTTGACAGAAACAACTGATTGTCCAAATGCACTGAGATAAAAACAGATGATAATATAGATGATAAGCTTGATCACAGCACCAACGCATATTTTAATGAAATTTCAATTCTCTAAACTTGAGGAATGACATTTCTGCAGTATCCTGGAATAATGACGCAATGTGAGAATTTGAGCCTTTTCATTTGTACAAGGACTGGTTTGATTGCTGTATCACCAGTGTGCCCTTAAGATGTAACAAAATCTATGAGGGAGCATACAAAGTGTCTTGGCTGCATCCATAGAAATATGACGTGTACTTTATCACATTTGTCTGATGTTGTGTTTAACTGTGTGTAAATGATGCAAAGATATTCAGAAATACTACTAATTATACTCCCTAAATGGAGAATGTCACAATTGGGTGGATATTTCTCTCTTGATCCACATATTGTGGATCAAAAGAGAAAGATGTGTTGCAGGCAGCAGTTCTCAACAGAAATGTGCCCAACAAAACAAGCATGTTGTCCTCTTTGGCTTTGTATGTAATTACTGAGTCAACAGTTGAGGGAGAATGTAGTGATGCTTGGGTGAAATGTATACAAACAACCTTTGTTTAGATGAGCACTTATGGCTTGAGAGGTCATATTAATGAATACAAATCAGTGTCATATTTATTCATAAACTCCTGCTGTTCCTATTTGTGATGTTCAGAAAAACTCCCTGCTAATATTACTGTATCTATGAAAGAATTTACCTGTAATTCATGCATGACTGTTCATTCTCTGTAGTGATGCAATTATAAGAAGATCCAACTGGGGTTTGGAGTTGCAAGTCTGAGACTAGATTTGTTTGATTAGGCAAATTCAGATCAGTCCTTGACTGCTGTTTTTTTGCAGACATTTTGATGAAAACAGAGACTCTGAGTGAAGTGCTGAAGGTCCCTGGACCAATCCACTGTCGCAAAAACGCTGACGAGGGATCAGATTCCTCGCTGGTTCCTCCATTACATGAAGTTAGTTCCGTTTTATATTCTGATATCTACTATATCTACTCCACCTTTGTCATAATGGGCAGCTAAGGTTAGTGGTATTATAAGGAAGAGTGTGAGAAAAGGTAATACAGTTTACACTATTAAAAGGTCTACATCCAGCGGCTCTGTGAGGATGTAATTAGACACAGTGTTGTTTTAAGGTAAGTGCCAGTGTTGTCAGACTGAGCAGAAAAAAGATGGGCCTTGTAACTGCAGAATTTGCCTGAGAATCATCATCATCATCATGTTTCTACATGAAAAGCCAGAGGACCATTAAATATATTAGGATTTAGACTCTAGGCACCATGGATATCTGTACCACATTTTAATGGCAATCCATACAGCAGTTGTTGAAACATTTCACTTAAAATGGTGGCACTAGAGAAAAATTCAGGGGGTTCACTAATGTCAGTATCCTCCACCCTTTTTATGACTTTTTTGGCAGCTAGTGTGGATAAAAAAAGAAAAGTACAAAAATGACTTTGCGTTATTTTGTGCAGACAAGTTATTAATACTTGTGTGTAATTGTTGAGTCATTCATACCCTCGAACACCCATGCTCACAGTATTGATTGATATAAGTGCTTATTAGCCACTTATGATGATTGATGTCACAGCTAATGACTTTTGAAGTATTTTCTTTCTTTCCTTTTCCATTTTAGATTGCTTTGCCTGAGATGTCTGACCTTCCCTCAGGTAAACACATGGGCAGAGCAGAATAAAAAATCATGTTCAATGCAAAGCCTAGAGGGTTGACATTTAAAAAGTGCTATTTACAGTGCTGTCACATTTGTAATATTACCTTTAGTGCTGAGAAGCAGAGTCAAGCAGAAGCAGGAGACAATACAAGAAACGTTCGTACAGCCTCTTGGATGCTTTTTTTCCTCTTAAATGCTGACTGGATTATTGAATAGATCATTCACAGCACATTTTATTGATCATTTCATATATAAGCCCCATTAAATTTAAAGTAGATATATAGCTACGTTTGTTCAAACACCAATGCACAAGGTAAATATTTCATTCCAACAGCTCGTATTGACTAAGCACCACAGGCTCCAGAAAGTTACCATTATGTACACAAGCACATTGCTCTTAACAATAAAAGGAGGAGACTCAAACAAAATAAAGCAAGATTCAGAAAAATAAAAGTTCCTATGCCACAATATAATCATTGTTTCTGAAGGTCTTTTTCTTATATAATTCCCTTTGCATTAATTTCACAGATAACCTACATGCCACGGATGGCATTCTCTGTTTGCTGTACAAAAAGGACTTTGGTAGTTTCAGACTGTCTGTGAAAAGAGAGCATGTATCCACACAGTTTTCTGGGCAAAAGAGCCTTCTTCACTACACAGTAGCCAGCGGGGACACAGAGAGTGTCAAGCAGGTCCTGAGTCTGGGTGCTGAAGTCAACTGTGCGACTGCCAGAGGTTATACTCCTCTTATTATTGCTGTTCTGCACAGGTTTGTATGAGTAATTTTAGTGACTGTTGTAAGAGTGACACAGGGAAAAGTAATTTGTGGTAGCAACTGGCTATTTTGATAAATTTCTGCATGACAAGATTGATACCACGCTCAAGTTTGTGTGCAAGGTTACACCCAGAAGATGGTTAGCTTGGCTTCGAATAAAAACTAGTCTACGTCAAACTATTGCTTTAAAAGTACCACAGTACACTAAGGTTGAAACATCTTTTCTACAGGCTTCACGAAATCATCTCTCTGCTGCTGGAACACGGTGCAGCTGCCACCCAGGAAGATGAGGACCAGTGGACGGCGCTACATTTTGCTGCTCAGAATGGAGATAACAGAACTGTAAGTCTTCTTTTGGACAAAGGAGCTGTGGCGGATGCCCGGGAAAAAACCGGATGGATGCCCCTCCATCTGGCCTGCCAGAACGGCCATGAAACAGTGGTGCGCCTGCTGCTTTCACGGCTGTCAGAGGAAGCAGTCAGAGAACGTGAGGAGGCACAAGGGAGGACGCCGCTCCACCTAGCCTCGACCTACGGGTATCTAAATATTGCCAAGCTCCTCCTCTCTCAAGGAGCAGATCCGAATGCTACAGACTGCTGTCTCTCCACTGCTCTTCATTTATCAGCCGAGGAAGGCCATAACAGAGTCGTGAGACAGTTGGTGAAGAGTGGAGCGAGTACTGACAATGCAGACAGCAGAGGATATACTCCTCTTCACCTGGCTGCTCTGAAGGGTCATACAGGCATATGCAGGCAGCTGTTGTCAAATGGGGCCAGCCCAGACTCCAGGACCCTCCAAGGTTGGACTCCCATGCACCTGGCTGCCCTGAGGGGTCATGAAACCACGGTGGTCCAGCTGAAGAGTCAAGGTGGTTGTGTGAATGCTTCAGGTGAGAATGGATGGACCCCGCTCCACCTCGCCTGCAAGCAGAGCAAGCCGGAAGTGGTGGCAAAGCTCCTGGCGGCCAAGGCCGACCCAAACGTGACAGAGGACAGTGAAGGATGGACACCGTTACATGTAGCCTGTAACAGTGTCTGTTTCCCAAGTGTCCTTCATTTGTTAACACATCATGCAGATGTCAATGTAGTAAACTCGGGAAAGGCGACACCTTTACACCTGGCTGCCCAGCATGGCTGTGTGCCAATCATAAAGGCTCTACTGCTGAATGGAGCAGACAGGACACGTCTGGACTCTTCTGGATCCACAGCTCTGAATGTGGCCCAGAGGTGTGAGAAATGGGAAATAGTGCAACTATTGAAAAAGGAATGTGAAGCATGACTCTCCCTCTGGGTAAAGCAATTTGAATAGAAGGACTATGTACAATGAAAACATCAATGACACAGCTGGAATATTATCCTGCTTTTGAGTGGGGCTTTTATTAAGCAGCTTAAAGCAAGGTTTTCAACTTTATTACTTTTAAATGTCTTATTATTTTTTTAGAAATACGTTATTTTACTACACAATTGAAATTTACAAAGACTTTTTGTTCCATTGTATCTGCCTAGCATGCTAAAGAAAACTTTTTTTCCTCTGAATATATCACGTAAAGTGGGGTCCAAACTCCTCAGACCACTGGGAAAGTGGTCTTAAACTTTTGGACACCCCTGTATCACAACAGCCCTTAGTTGTGGATTTTATCAAATCATTGCACAATCAAAAAATTGTATTGTATTTTTAGTATAAATAAAATTTGATTGATTTTATTTTGGTTTAAAAAATGAACCTCTTTGTCTAATTAATAATAATGAATTACTTTGCTATATAAATACACATATACGCAATATATACACATATATATAAAATAGATGTACCATACTAGCTGCCATTGATGCCAAACCAGGCGTTTATACTGGAAATAACTAACAGTCTGTAAAGCCCAACAAGGTGAGTCAGCACAAGGGGTCAGAATCAGGTGAAGTAGACAGATAAGTAAACAGATATTGATTCTCCTCAGTGCTTTCCCGGTGAATGGCATTAACGCTGCTGCCACATATGGATGAAAATGAGAGTATAAAAGAGCGGCTGTAATAAAATAAAATAATAACTTATAGAGAGATAGATTAATCTGATCAAACCTGTAAAACTTTATGAAGGTATTATGTGTAATAATCAGGTAAAAAAAAAAACTGATGACAAAATTAGTGTATCACTGTCGTTAATATTATTTAATAGCATCTATTGGACTTTTACAAAGTATAAACGCATATATGTTTTATGGCGAGGCAAGATAACTCTGATCATCAGTCATCTCCTGCAGACTGAGGGAGGCCCTGCCCAGCTTGTGCCACACTCATTTACCACAGTGACACCTTATTAAATTGAAATGAAATGCACAGATTCAGGAGCTGTATTGACCTACGTGTTTACAGCGTGTTCCTTGAAACCACAAGAGGCCGATTCTGATGGAGGTGTGGGAGCTGAGCCGAATCAAATTACTGTAAATGAACAGAGCAGGATTAAGCTTGTCATAGACTGAGCTATTTGCTTTCTTAGTGACTATCTGCTTTTAAATTGTTTTGTTTTTTTTTTAATTCTAAAACTACTACTTTTTTCTCCCTGACATTTGTGACCCTGAGTATATTTAGTGTTATCTGTTAGCTTCTTAAATTTGTCTCCCAGTGTTAGCCATTTTTGAATGTTTGTACAACGTCCAATGGAAAATGCCATGCTTGCTGAAAATGCACAAACATAGCCTTACGCCAACTTGTAACCTCAACTAAAACCTAACTAACCTACAATAAGTTGAGTGTGACTCATATACAGTCTATGGCGTGTGACTACTTCACAATAAAAGCCATGAAAAGTAGTCACATGAAGTGTTTATCTACTTCAACAGACTGATAACATTGCTTATTCTGTCTAGTTTCAGTCTTTGGTTGCATTTTTCTCCCTTGATATTTCTGTGAATCTGTTTAATTTATTTTTGAATCTATTTTAGACAGCAATCAGGAAGCTGCACTCACTTCGGCTGCCTTAGATTTAGATAAGCAAAGTCCTGATTTATAATGTCATATGGTTTATATCAGGAGCCTGACAAAGTATCTGCTGACCCTGCTCTCACTGTAATCTATCCACTAGAGTTTGAAAATCAGCCATCACATTTTGAAAAGCGGTTCTCTGGAGAGGACTGTGTGCTTCAGGTTACGTAGGATGATTTATAGTTGATAGTATCCTTTTTACTGAAGCAACTCCCATTTGAAATTTATGATGCTTTCAGTGTCTTAAAAATTGTAAGCAAACCACATTTGTGTAATTTTTATCTACAGTAAACAGTGTGATGACAATTTAACAGATGGGAATGACACTCATCTATGGAATCCACATAGATGTGTCATTGTGAAACTTGTCTAACAGCGTTTCTGCCCTTCTAACAGTCAAACCGACTTTTACAACAACATCTAATCAGGCCTACCTAAACCAATGGTGTTGCCCCTCCATTTTCATGCATACACATTGAACACCTTCTGTCGGCCAGTAATTGGGTTTGCAGGCGCCTAAACTAATTTTATTTTCTAACAGGGAGAGAAGCAGGAACAAGATAATGTCATATACATTGCTGGTATCACACCAAAGAACTAAGGACAAAAAGAGGGGAACTGTGATGTGGTGTTTTCTTTCCTTTGCTGAGGCAATGCCCTGCCACATTGTTTAATAACTGCACTTATTTAACATATACATTATTAAACAAAGTGGAGCAATATCTTAATGAAACATTTTACAATGTCACTCCACCTTATGCTCTTGCTTATGTTTTGTGCAGTGTAATAATAATATGTTCAACTAAATTAGATAGAAACTTCACTAACTGCTTAGACTGAACTGGTTCAAAATGACAATAGAATACAGCTCACCACGGTGTGTATCCACCTCCGCAAAATTAAAAATGTGTTGCTGTATTCAAAGGCTCTAAAGGCTTTGTTGTAAAACTCATCAGGAGCAATTTGCATACATAATAATTTTCAACAATTTATACAATTCTCATTTGGGCCTGCTATGGATGAGCTGTTTAATCTCATTGTGTGATCCCACCTAAACCCCTATACACTCTTTAGGCTGTTTACCAAAGTTTGAGCGTACAGATATATTTGCATAAAGAATTTAAAATGTTATTTTGCTCCACCGAGGCCTCTGAAACACCGTTAAGAAGGTCTGTCTGACATTCACAGCTCTCATCTTAATGATAGGATGTAATCTGGCTACTTATTGGTATATTTAGCTTCTCAGTGGAGGGCCATTAGACGCTCTCTGCAGAGCCCCTCTTAACTGTCAGGGTTAAACTCACCATTGAGCTGTGCCCTGCGGTGTTAAGCCACTGCAATCATGACTGATGCATCTGTGTCTTTTGACCCAGGTGTGCCGCCTCAGCTGGGCCAAGCAGGCATCTAGGCCGGCATCTCTGGTCCTTGCAACAGTAAGTGATTGAGTGATCTATCATGTCTCCTGGGGAATGATTTTTTCTAGAGTGATGATATGGAAAACATTTTTCGCCCCTGTCATCTCTCTGCGACCTCTCACTCTGCAGTATGACAGTGAAAAAAAACACCTTACGTTGGTCTCTCTACATCCCCAAGGTTGTTGCTAGCTGATGTGCGAGTGACTGGTCTTTGTCACCTCAATGAACTTCCAAATAAGGCTACTGAGTGAAAGCATTTTGATTAAATTGCATGCTTTGAACAAGTAAACTACATAAAGAAACAGCATACAGAAAGATTATTCTTATTCTTCAGGATTTAAAAATGATAATCTATTCCTATACTGCAGAATGTATTCTCAAAGCTATTGAACTATTGCTACTGAATGGCCTTGTTTTCTCTTGTGTATTCTTATTATCCTTTCAGCTCCCTTTCCTTGGTGTTGTCATGTTCTTGTGAAATGATTAATGGTGGATCTCATTGCTATCTCCCAGCACAGAGCAGAACCCCCCCCCCAACACTCAGCCTTACACTATTTGAATACCCTATATAGCACACTATGCATAGTTTAGCAGCATCTCATGCTGAGAAGGATTGGACATCCCATCTCTGCTAAGGTTTGCAAGATAAAGAAAGTCTATGTGTGTTCATTTCATACATCACACCTCTTTGTTTCTTGTATATTTTTTTCTTAAAATTATCTTATTTTGGCCTTTTGTAATAAGTAATCCATAATGACTGCATGTGCTTCCTTTTTTCTTCCTGAAAATTATTAATGGATCAAAGAGTGTAAGATCCTTAAATTAACTGAAATGAAAAGCAATCAGCAGCCATAATGCTGACTAGTCTTGATTGTTTATTAAAAAAAAAAAGAAAAAAAAGAAATTAAAGTGTCATTTGTGCAAAACTGGAGAAAAACTAGTAGCTGTTTGGCTGTTTATAATGGTTTATCTAATAGAATGCTTTTGTACTTGTCAGGCAAAGCAGAAGAGTTGATGCTGCTTTTAGTGCAGCACTGCCCCTGCACATTTTCACATAAAACATTAGTTGTTTGTGTTCTGTCTCAAAAGGCAAAGTGAATGGATGGGTTAGAAAAGGGGTTACACAGAAATGGAACCTTAAGCCTTTGGTATCACAACTGAAATAGTAGTCTCTGCAACACAGTTACTACATGCATGTGCTAGGCTCTTAGACTGTAGTCTACAGTTGTCTCGGGAAATGAGGCACTGCATCAAAGAATATTCACTTAAATTACAGCAAAGCTTTCAAGAATTTTTTTTCTTGTAGATTAATACGTTGCTCCTTAAGAGGCAATTACTACCACAGCCTTGTCTACTGAGGTTCAATGACTGAGAAATTACAGAAAATAATAATCATAGCGATTAGATGTTGAAATAAAAATTCAAATGTAACGGTCAAGGTGGTCTAGGAAAAAAAAACAACAGCTTTTTAGTATGCAACAAAAGAATTAATAGTGTATCATCAAGATTTTATTATCATTTGAGAGAAAGACAATTATGGAAGCTGTTCAATTATGCAAGATTCACAACATGCGCTCACAACTCAAGAGTAGTATGTTTGAATGAGTTAAAAACAAATACAAAGATGAGCTCTAAAACACACACACACACACACACACACACAACTTCTATAACTGAAACCAACCTGGTGTGTGTGCCCTACATGTTTGTGTGTAGCATCTGACTTCTAGGGTCTCACATTACATTGATGACCCGTAAGGAGTTTGTGTCGGGAGTTTGCAGGTGTGCGGTGCATTTGGTGTCATGATTTAATATAGTTGTGTATTTTGTCTCTAAATTGCTTTGTGCACCAACTGTAACAAACATAAATAAAAAAAGAGAAAGAGCAAAGTCATTCAGGACATTTCAGCAACTTTTTAGACCAATCTCCTTAAAAGTTTTACTCGGCGCAGATAAATGACAAAAAGATATATTGCTACTATGGAGCGGGTCCATTAGAGATCACAGTATTATAACGTCCACACTCTTTGCTGCCAGCAGGACCAAACCGACAG